GAATTGCTTGAACCTGGTAGCCAGAGGTTGCAGTGAGCAGAGATCACACCATTGCACTTCAGCCTGGGCAACAGAGCAAGACTCCGTCAAAAAAAAAAAAAAAAAGAAGAAGAAAGAAGAAGAAGAAGGAGGAGAAGGAGAAGGAAAAGAAGAAGAAGAAGGAGGAGGAGGAGGAGGAGGAGGAAGGAGGAAGAAGGAAGAAGGAAGAGAGAAGAAAAAGAAGAAACAAATACAGGAGGAAATAGAAAAGCCTAGACACTGTGCTCATGAAGTGAAATAGCATGCCAAAGGCTCAGGACTTTCTCCCCTGACTACAGGGGCTGATCCCAGGGACATCAGAACTAAACAGGGAACACTCTGCTCCCTAAAGCTGTTCTTTCTGCATTTTGGCTAGTAACTCTTACCATTCTCCCACTCTAATATCCTGACAAAAATCCTTGACCTGCCCATCACCATCACCCTACATCATCAATCAGTTGCCAAATCCTCTAACCTCTACCGTCAGCATATTTTTCACACGGATGCCTTTCCATGTATTCCACTGCCCCCATTCCAGTGCAGTCCCTTTATTAACCTCCTCTTTGACTTCAGTAATATCTTCGGCATTGGTCTCCCTGCCTCATCTCTCCGCTGTCACCTGTTGGTCCACCTCAACCATGCTTACTTTATAATCATGCTAATCCACTCCGCTTAGGCTGCTATCTCTGCCAGAAATCCTTCAGGGATTCTCCACTTAGTTTAGAATTTTTCAACCTTATCAACTTTGTAGCTCACACTATTGCACATTTCAGCCAGCTGGTCTGCTTGCAAGTCCCAGGATCATTTGCATTTTCCACATGTGGACCTTTCGTCAGGCTCCTCCCTCTATCTAGAAAACACCCTTCCTCCATCTCTGCCCACTGAAATGCTACTGATTATCACAGAAGCAAGTCAAGTGCCAATGGTTTAAATTAGTTTTCTTTCTATCTTTTTTTTTTTGAGATGGAGTTTCATTCTTGTTGCCCAGACTGGAGTGCAATGGCGCAATCTCAGTTCACTGCAACCTCCGCCTCCCAGGCTCAAGCTATTCTCCTGCCTCAGTCTCCCAAGTAACTGGGATTACAGGCATGCATCACCATGCCAGGCTATTTTTTTTTTTTTTTTGAGACGGAGTCTTGCTCTGTTGCCCAGGCTGGAGTGCAGTGGCGTGCACATTGCAAGCTCTGCCTCCCGGATTCTTGCCATTCTCCTGCCTCAGCCTCCCAAGTAGCTGGGACTACAGGTGCCCACCACCATGCCTAGCTAATTTTTTGTATTTCTAGTAGAGATAGGGTTTCACTGTGTTAGCCAGGATGGTCTCGATCTCCTGACCTCGTGATCTGCCCACCTCAGCCTCCCAAAGTGCTGGGATTACAGGTGTGAGCCACCGCGCCCAGCCTAATTTTGTATTTTTAGTAGAGACAGGGTTTAAATGTTGGCCAGGCTGGTTTCAAACTCCCAACCTCAGGTGATCCACGCGCCTCGGCCTCCCAAAGTGCTGGGATTACAGGCGTGAGCCACTGTGCCCTGCCCTGAATTAGTTTTATTCTCTCTTTTCCTATCAACCTCTATATTGCCACTCCTGCATTGTTTACCACATGTTAATCTTACGTCATCATTTATATGTCATTATCTGTGTACTTAAATGTTCTTCCTACCAACATTTATTAAGCACCTATGATATACCAAAGAAGTATGCACTAGGCACTTCACGTGTTATTTTATTTAATTTAATTCCTACAACAGCCCTGTGAGATAGGTATTATCATCTCCCATTTCACGGATCAGGAATTCGATGCTAACAGAAGTTGATTAACTTCTCAAAGTAGCATCCTTACTAAATGGCATCACTCATTCAACAAATTTTATTCCAATCCATGTCTGCTAGATTCCTAACCCATGGGCTTTTCAATATAGAGTGGGGAACCCCTTTGAGGGCAATTAGCCCTGGAGCCTCAGGACAAGGCAGAGAGTGTTAAAGGCAGCTTTCTGCTCCTCTTTCGTTCGATTTGCTTCACTGCGCCATGGGAAACACTCCTTTGGCTCGCAGTCAGCACTCAGCCTGGGCTAAAGAAATGATTTGTGAAAACAAATATCATACAGGATGTTTAGTTCCATGTGTGACCCTGATTATTATAAAACCGTGAGAGGAATGCCAAGCCCCAGCACATGTCCAGCAGTCTAGAACTTCCAGTTCTCTGCCGCCTCAGTTTAGGCCTCAAGCTAAACCTCTCTGTTTCCTGATTACATCCAGAGAGATGCCTCAGCTTTCATGAACAAGGCTGGAACGATATTGTTGTCATTAGGGTCAGCCTTGGCCTGATAAGAGTCCCTGCCATCAACACCCAACATCAGCTCACAAGAAATTCGTATGAAGATCAAGAACAGAGAAGAGTGGCCGGGCGCAGTGACTCACGCCTGTAGTCCCAGCACTTTGGGAGGCCGAGGTGGGCAGATCATCTGAAGTCAGGAGTTCAAGACCAGCCTGGCCAACATGGTGAACCCCATCTCTACTAACAACACAAAAATTAGTTGGGTGTATTGGCACACACCTGTAATCCCAGCTACTTGGGAGGCTGAGGCAGGAGAATTGCTTGAGCCTGGGAGATGGAAGTTGCAGTGAGCCGAGATCATGCCACTGCACTCCAGCATGGCCTGGCTGGCAGAGTGAGACTCTGTCTCAAAAAATAAAAATAAAAAAAAGGAACAGAGAAATGCTGGTCTACCTTGAATTGGTTTTTCACCGTGTGGGGTTGGAAGCCCCCAAACTTGTTTGATCAGTTCATATTGCCAAATGAATACTATAATAATGGGCTTATTCTCTCCCTGATTGTTTTGGAGTTGAGGGTGTTCAATGGCCACTGTTTGCTCAAGGAGAATGTAAACAGGACTTGCTGACGCCTGCGGTCAATAGGCATGCCTCCTAAGCCATTTCCAATCTGGCATGAGTGTGGATATAATGGGAAAGAAGCTGAACAGGGAAGGAGGGCAGGTAACTCTATTTTGTGTTTCCAATGTGTTTTCTATTTTAATACTCAAAGCAATCCTTTCTGAGGTAGGTGTTATTTTGATACCCATTCTACAAATCCAAAAACCATGTGGTAAGTAACAGGACTAAAATCCTGATAGGTTGAGCTCCATAGCTTTCCACTACCCTAAGCTTACTCTTTGCGTTAAGACCTTTTGCTTAGGCAAATACTGGTTATTCAAACAAGACCAAAGGCAAAATTTGTACACAAGTTCAAGTTCTCAAGTATCAATATTCTTCTCTTCCTCCAAATCAAGATAATAGAAGTGCTTAATTTCTGAAATGTCTCATATTTTCCGTTGTTGACAAAGATCTCAACAAGAATTGGTAGTTAAACTGTATGATTCTTCCCTTCCACTCAGGAGACTCCCTTGTTTGATTCTTAGGCAAGCGGGCTTTCTTCGTCTCATTATTTTGATTGGTTAGACCACAGGCCATCAAGGCCAGTGAGCCAGAGTCACTGATAAGATCATCCTGTTCTCTGCGATCTCTAAAACAGGTCATTATGTGGCTGGGTGGAAATGTAGATGGCCCAGGGCAGGTTGTCATTGAAGCTAATAAAGGTTATCAAAAGTCCCACTCACTGGGGTAACTTATATTCATGAATCTTCAAAATCAAGTATCTTTATTTACACAAAAATCCTTCCCCCCACACCTGACTTCTTTATGACCTGCTATACTGTAGACTCAGAACATCTTTATAAGAATATATCTCCATAAGGGATGGAGTTGTTGTTGGCAATCAGTTCACACTAGCAATTTATAAAAAATATTCCGGACTGGGTGCAGTGACTCATTCTTATAATCCCAGCACTTTGGGAGGCTGAGGTGGGAGGATCGCTTGAGCCCAGGAGTTAGAGACTGGCCGGGGCAGTATATTGAAACCTCATTTCTATTTTAAAACATATATATTTTAAAGTTATATATATATACACTAACCTCTCAAAACCTTAGTCCTTCACATTCTACAGAAATAACAGAACTTTCATTTTGCCTTCCCCAACGTAGTTCTTGTAAATATCTTATTGTTGCCTCTGCCATATGGTTTCTAAAAAAGTTGCTCGGAGCACAACCAAATATCGTTATTTCAATAATACAGAAACGACTTAGTTTTGTTGCTCCTAGTGCCCTTTTGCGTTCCTCCAAGACGACTTTTCAAAAGATATTTTTGGTTATAAGACATTGACTACCTATTGTCTGAATTCTGCTTCCAACATTTTGGAAATACCTTGAAAAAGACTTTGACATATGTTAGCAGAAGTCAGAGAGGAGACCAGAGGTTGGCAGAACACAAGATATTGAAGAACTCAAAATCTGCAGAAAGGTGAGTCGTGTGCTGTCAGGTACACTAATCAGTACGCTGCGGGGAGGCCAAGCTATAAGGAGGAGCCACATTTAACAGTCTTCACTAACCGATGTTTAATAAACAAGGAGCTAGAGAGCTGGGATCCTATCATCCCTCTCGCACATCTCCCACCTTCACACTCCGTTTTGTGTAGCCATGATAAAATCACTTCGCCCCGGTACTTTTTTTCTGGCCTCCCTAACTCCTTTGCTCTCCCACTACTCTCCTTTCCTCTTCCTATTTCGCTTCTCTGTGCATAATCTTTTGTTGTCAACCACTTTTAAGGTGAATTCATCCCAGCTGGAAAACAACTCGTCTTCCTCCCTCATTCTGAGTTCAGGTACCCAGGTAGCTCCCCTTCTTGGGGCTGGGACCTTTCTCGCTGAGCTCAGCATCCCAAGCTGTGAGGTTGATCTATCCGCGAGTCCTCCAATGTGCTGGCCTCCTCATGACGCCAGACTGGCTCCTCTTCCCTCCCCCCACGCCTCATCCCCAAAGAAATCTAAACTCCTTGGCGTCTGAAACTCTCTGAGCCTGGGTCCCCAAGGTCTCCGCCTGGATCCAAGACTTTTGTGACCAAAGCGGGGTCGGGTAGGGGGGCGGCAGTACCTCTTTGCAAGCGTGAAGCTCCGGTCCCGTTCCCTGGGTCACCTGGAAGACGGTCCCAGCCCAGAGCAGCAGCCGCAACAGCCGGGGTGTGCGCCTCTCAGTTGTTCCCCTGCCTCTGGCGGAGAGACGGTGGCCAGGCTCAGCCATAGCGTTGTCCTGAGTGAGCGGCAGTAGCGGCTCAGGTGCTGCGGCTGCTGCTTCTGCTGGCAGAAGGCGGAAAAAAAAGGGGAGGGAGGTACACGGGGGGGGGGGATGCAAGAGGCCAGGCTCGCACCAGTCACCTCCCTGCGGCTACGCCAACACCGCCCATCCTTCCTCCTCCCTCAGTCCTCTCCTCCTACCCACGTCGCCTTGACAACCGCCTCCTCTCTGGCTCCGCGCGGGTAGGGCAGGGACCACGCGCGCCTCTGCCGCTCACCTGCGGGTCGCCATGGCAGCCGCCGCCGCTGGTGCGCGCGGCGTGGGCGCGGGAGAGCGCGCGCCCGGGGTGTGCAACCGGCCCAACAGGCATGCCCGGGGCTCGTGTGAAGAACGCGGTGGAAGCATCCTCCAAGCCAGTGCCAACAAATCTCCGTTTTCTACAGGCCTTGCGGGGTAGGGGTTATTTTATGAGCATCTCTGATTTTGCACACGTGGCATGTGAACCGAGAGAAAGAAGATGGAGAGATCACCCTCCAGAAGTCGTCGCCTGGAAAAGGCCCCCGTATGTGTTCCCTCCTACGAAGGCCACTCCTGGAGATCTTACATCCCGCCAAATCCATCCGTGCTTTTACAACCGGCTAGATGAGAAGCCCTGACACTGCAGTTGATCAGAATTTAAGCAAGGAGTTTGCCTTAGCCGCAATTTTCCAAGTACCGCACGTGTCCCCCCCCCCCCCCACCCTCTCTCTCTCTGAGACAGGGTCTCACTCTCTCACCCAGACAGGAGTGCAGTGGCGCGATCTCCGCTCACTGCAACCTCCGCCTCCGGGGTTCAAGAGATTCTCCTGGCTTAGCCTCCCGAGTAGTCGGGACTACAGGCGCATGCCACCAAGCCCAGCTAATTTTTTTCCTATTTCTTGTAGAGACGGGGTTTCGCCATGCTGCCCAGACTGGTCTCGAACTCTTGGGCTTAAGCGATCCGCCCGCCTCCGCTTCCCGAAGTGCTGAGATTAGAGGAGTGAACCACCGCGCCCGGCCCTCTTTGGTTTCTTGACATCCTCATTCTCTCATGGCTTTGAAAGCCTTTTGTTAGGTGCGAGCCAGAAGAAGATTTCTGGGTCATCTTTAAGGACTTCTTCCTCAACTGAAGTTTTTTGCAGAAGTCCTGATGGTGAGCGGCCGGCGCTTTTCCGCCGAGGCTCAGGAGTGCAATTCCAAGGCTCGGGGCCGACTCAGCGGCGCTTTCCCTCTGCATTCCCCGGAGCATCCTCCCCAGAGGCCTCCCGCGGTCAGCCGCCAGGTGGCGCCCTCCTCGGAGGGAATTCCTCTGTCTTAGATGGCTGGGCAGTTGCCTGGCAACCGAAACCAGCGTTCCAAACAATTGGGACCCGGGATCATACGCGAGTGAGGCTGTGCTGCGGCTGAGCGGACCTCCCATCCCTCTTAGGAGAGTTAGGCATTTAGCCATGCCTCCCACCCGGGACCCTTTCCAGCAGCCTACATTAGATAACGATGATTCCTACTTAGGAGAACTGCGGGCTTCCAAGGTACTGTGGTTTCTTGCGCAGATTCCCAGTAGGGTCGCCGGTAGTCTTCTTTCTGTCGGTGTGATGGGCAGAGATGGTAACATAAAGCACTCTGGTGAAGACACTCAGTCGGGTACCAGAGAAGTCTGTTTTCTGCCTGCCTCCCTATCTCCATATTCAGGTCGGCTAACGTTTCAGAGGAGTTTTTGAGCAGGGGAAAGTAGAGCTCTAGTCTAGAAGAACAAGGGGCTCTGGCAGCTCAAATCAGTTGTGAGTATAAGTTATGGCAGGGCCCAGGTTCCTTCAAGCTACCCATTTCCCTGTTGGGAAGACTGTTCTCTGAAGAGAAATGAGATATGGAGTGGGAGAGAATCCTCTGAAAGTCACCAGAGGTCATGCTTTATACATCTGTGTTCACACTGTCTCTGTCTTCTGGTTAACACCACAAAGTGTTTGTTATGTGTGTGTTTAGCATGATGGTGGTCACTGATTTAGGAACTTAGATGATCTTTTTTCTGGTAGAAGTGATTGGGATATTTGAAGTGGTGCACAATAAGATGAATTAAGTGGTAATTGTTGTCTAATAACAATATTAAGAGCCCCTTTTTATTTATTCAATACTTATTTACTATAAGCCAGACACTCTGCTAGACACCAAGGATATATAAATAAATTAGATGTAGCTTCTGCTGTTAAGGAACTCTAGTAGTAAAGATAGACCGACAATAGCAAAAATGCTTGCACGACAGCACATGTTGTGACAGTTGTGTGTAGGGTGCCATAAGAACCAGGAACTTAAAAGAAAGCTTCACAGAGCAGATGCATTTTGATGTCCAAATATGAGTTAGGTAGGCCAGGTGAGGGAGTGGGTAGAATATGAGTTAGGAAGAAGGAAACAAGAACCAGATATGCAAGGCAAAGGGAGCAGCAGGTGCAAATACATGGAACGGAGAGAGAGAATGGCTTGTCCGGGGAACTGCAAATAATCCGGAAGGGCTGGAGTGCAGGCATGAAATGGAGGCACTCAGAGATCAGAGCTGGGAGATGCCCTTGGTGGGCTGGGTATGCTGTGTACCCCATGCTAGCTAGCTAGCTATGGTTTCATCCTAGAGATGTGAGGAATCATGGTGGGAATTTTTTTTTTTTCTTTTTTTTTTTTGAGACAGAGTCTCCTTGCTCTGTCACCCCAGCTGGACTACACTGATGCAATCTTGGCTTACTGCAGCCTCGAACTCCTGGGCTCAAGCAATTCTCTCAACTCAGCCTCCCAAGTAGCTGGGACCACAGGTGGTGCCACCACACCGGCAAATTCTTATTTTATTTTTTTGTAGAACAAGGATCTTCCTTTGTTGCGCAGGCTGGTCTCAAACTCCTAGCCTCAAGTGATCCTCCTGCTTTGGCCTCCCAAAGTGCTGAGATTACAGGCATGAGCCGTAGGTCCCAGCCCCATAGCAGGATTTTAAGTACCAAGTGACACAATCAGATGGGTGTTTTAGGAAGCACAAGTGGCAGCAGACTGGATAGGATGAGAGTGAGACAAGAGGGATCAGTTAGGAGGCAAGTGAGGCGATCTCCAGGAGGAAGAGTAATGGATCTACAGCAGTACCACAGGGGATGGGGATCAGGTGCAGATGTGAGAAAGGTGCACAGGGCAGGACTGACAGGACCTGGGGACGGACTGGATACGGGCCCAAGAGAGGAGGTGAGTCTAGGATAACTGCTAGGTTCCTAAGGGTTTAATTCTGAGGGTTCACTGAAATGGGGCATCCTGGGGAAGCAGGTTTGGGGAGAAAGATGTTGAGAAACATCAACTATATAGATGTTTTTGTAGTGACTGTGGGACATTTAAGTGAAGATCAATAGTAGGCAACAGGGTTGAGAGTTCTGGATTGAAGATGTATGATGGAGCTGTGTATCCATATGAGCTACAGTATCCATATAGTAGTTGAGCCATGGAAGGGAATCAGCTCATCCAGTGGATGTGAGCATAAGAAAAGTAAAAACGAGACCCTTGGAGAATAGCACTGTCTAAGGGACAGAGAGAAAGTGGAGCTGAGACAGTAGCTGAGAGATAAGGGCCAGAAATAAGAGGAAAACCCAGAGGAGCTGGGCCCACAGAGCATGGTGTGGGCATTTGAGGGAATCAGCATTATGATGTCAGAAACAGCTGAGTTCAAATAAGATCAGGCCTGGAAAGGATCCACCTGAACTGGCCACAGAGTTCACTGATAACTAGCAAGAGCAGTTTTAGGGGGTGCTTCAGGCAGAGGCCAGACTGCCATGAGCTAAAGAAGGTATGGGAATGGTGAGTGAGGAAGTAGAGATAGTAAATATTGACTCCTGAAAAGGTCTGGTTCTGTAGGGAAAGTGATAGGCTGGTAACTAGACCATGACAAAGAAATGAAGAGAGGCTGGGGTCAGAAAAGAGCGTATGCAGAATGGTACAGGTCTCAGAAGCACAGGGAAGTGTAGGTCCGGGGAGTAAAAGGGACTTTCCTTTCCCTGAGATGGAAAGAAAGTGGATGCAAAGATGACATTCGTCTTGACAGTCTGGACTTTCTCAGTGAAAGACAATCTCATCCTTCTGCTGACAGAGATGACGAGGTTTAAGTGGTCTTCAAGGAGAGTGGGAGGAGTGCTGCTCAGGGCCACATCAAAGGATAACTGAGCCTATGCTGGCATCAAATACCTGTAGCTTTCTTTCTTTCATACTTCATTATTCTTAGTGATAGCACAGTGGCTGATACACACTGTTCAATTAAGGTATGACTGTAATCCCAGCAGTTTGGGAGGCTGAGGCAGGTGGATCACCTGAGGTCAGGAGTTCAAGACCAGCCTGGCCAACATCGTGAAACTCCATCTCTAATAAAAATACAAAAATTAGCCAGATACAGTGGCACACGCCTGTAATCCTAGCTACGTGGGAGGCTAAGGCTGGAGAATCGCTTGAACGCAGCAAGTGGAGGTTGTAGTGAGCTGAGATCATGCCACTGTACTCCAGCCTGGGCAACAGAGCGACACTCCGTCTCAAAAAAAAAAAAAAAGTTATGGCTCATATAGCACTTTGCCATACTGGGGAGAAGGAGGATTACAATGTTGGATAGGTCTAATGAGAGTTTTGTTTTGTTTTGTTTTGTTTTGAGATAGAGTCCTACTCTTGTTGCCCAGGCTGGAATGCGGTGGCACGACCTCGGCTCACTGCAACCTCCACCTCCTAGGTTCAAGCGACTCTCCCTCCTCAGCCTCCCAAGTAGCTGAGACTACAAGCACCCACCACTACCCCCAGCTAATTTTTGTATATTAGTAGAGATGGGGTTTCATAATGTTGGCCAGGCTGGTCTCAAACTCCTGACCTCAGGTGATCTGCCCACCTCAGCCTCCCAAAGTGCTGGGATTACAGGGGTGAGACACCACACCCGGCCAGAGTTCTAATAGGTTGTTAGTTGCAGTGACTGGAATTCAGTCAAATGATATATTGGATTCAACCGTTTTTTAATACCAGGTGTTAGGTCAGTGTGCTAGGAACTGGGGATACAGTGGCGAATATGGCATTTTACATATAATGAAGAAATCTGTTATATGCTTTTTACATTCATGCCTGTGGAGTTTTATTGAGAACTAATGTCCAGTGGACTTTTTCTGCCATTCCTGCAATCAGTGACCCTTCCCTGCTTACTGGAATCTTTGTCTTACCTGCTT